TCTGCTCCACCCTACGCTGTGTCATTTTTAGTGGGAGCAGTCTTTGGAGTTTTCCTTGGGTGTGAACACCTTCATTGGGAGATATTGTTTCTTCGTATCAGGTACCTCCCTCTCCTACCTTTTGGTTTCAGATCTAGTCCGGTTTAGGTTCAAGATTGATCATTGAAAATGCAGATTTTCTAAAACATGGAATGTGATTCCCACATGGGAGAGAGAAATTTTTTGAAATTTCGCCCTACCTACCTGCAGGTTCGGCTATCCATATGATGGATCTCTCATCCCTTTAGGGAGATATCAAAGGATGGTAGTTTGACTATTATATTTATGTATGACATGCCCAAACATTTCTTTTGCTATTAGTGTTGTGAGTCTGTATATGCATGCTCCTTGGATTCAACATTGGGAAGCCCTTGATAGGATACTTGCATACCTAGGGGTGTAAACGGATTGAATTCGAATCGGATCAGGCAATATCCGAATTCGAATCTGATTAAACATTCGAATATTTGATTCGATTCGAATTCGATTAATTGTTATTTTAGATTATTAATAAATATATAAAATAAATATTTTATTGATATAAAGTATATAAATATATAAATTATTTATATAACTTAATTGCTATATATATATAAATTATATAAAATATTTTATATATTATATACAAGAATTAAACAATCGGTCGAATTCGGATATGACCTTATTTGATAAATATCCAAATTCGACCGATTAGATATTCGAATTATCTGAATTTGATTAGATTATATCAAACTCGAATATCGAATCGAAATCGGATTTTCGAATACCGTTTACACCCCTATGCGTACCTATATCCAGGCATAGGAATTCTATTCTCAGATCATGGGACTGGAGTCCTATATAGATGCAGATTGGGCAGGTTGTCTGGATGACAGGAGATCCACATTAGGGGTATGCACCTTCGTGGGAGGAAATTTGGTTTCATGGAAGAGTGAAAAGCAGTCAATGGTGGCTAGGTCAAGTGTAGAGGTCGAATATAGATCTATAGCTCATCGTGTTTCAGAATTACTTTGGGTTAGATCCTTGCTAAGTGAGATTGGGATAGATGTAGAGGAGTCTGTGTGACATTTACTCCCAACTTGAGGGGGAGTGTTGAGGATTTTGTGCAGATTTGTAGTTTTTTGTTTATTATTTGTTTAGATAGTGAGTTGGGGCCACAACACTCTTTTTAGGACCTTTTGGAGTGATGTTTTTAAGTTTTTATGCACTTTTATGTGTTAACCGCCCTATAAGGGCATATTAGTCATTATACTTATTTTTTACTTAAAAGTATAAATACCAATGGGAGAGGGCGACCAGATCTGATTTGCTCTTCTTTCTCAACTTCTCTTCTCTTTCTCTTCTTGCACAAGAAACTCTTCTTTTCTTTGCAGATTTTGGATTCAACAGATTTCTATTTGACTATTGTTGTTGGACTGTATGTTAACTTTAAATAACGTAAAATCAAGGGATTTCAACTATCAAGCAAATATTTAATGTGTAACGGCCATGAGGAGGATGTGAGGCATATTTTAATTCATTTCAGTATACTTCTGAATTTCTGTGGAGCTTTTTCTTTTCTTTATTTAATATTTAGAAGTTTGATCTATTTCAGCCATGATAAATATTTATGGTTTTGTGAAGCATCAGTCCTTTCACAGTTTGTTGGGTTGTTTAGAGAGAAAGGTGTATTTTTGAAGACAATATAAGATCTAGAGGCAAACTAATATGGGATCTTCATTCGATGATTGTGGACTGGATACTAGCACATTGTGAATTTAAAGATTCAAGAGAAAGCTAACTTAACCATACGAGGGATAACCATTATACGACCTTGGAAATTGATTTTGTTTATATGGTAAGAGGCTAATAGCTCTTCACTGAAACATGTAACCTTTCTTTATTTTTAATCAAAATTTCTATTTACTTCAAAAGGGTATTTAATGGGTCTAAAACAAAGATTAGCCTGCTAGTATGGACCTCCAAGGGCTAAGCAATGTTACCCTACCTGCAGGTGCAAGGCAGGACTTGATCCAAGTCATTCTAATGATATTTACTCATGATAATTGAGGTCTACAGGGAATGTTCTTTCGGAGGAAACCTCTACAATGTTCTCTCAAAGTAATGCCGTATTTTAATCTCTTGATTGACCTAGCTCTGGAACCCATACACCTTAAGGTTTAAAATGTTGGTGTCAGTAGAAATGTCGATTGTCCAAATATAGGAAATATGTCGGATATGTTGGAAATATCATGTATTGTAAAATTTATAGACATGCTGGAAACATTGTAAAATATGCAAAAATATAAAATGATAAAAGAAGCATAGGTACACCTTTTAAAATTATTATTTTGCTCCAAATCATTAAACAAAGCTAAGAAACTAACATTATAGTCAAAGTAATACGTTGTGAAGTTGTCTTGTAAACCTTAAGATTCAAAACTACATGATAGAATGAGTTCAAGCAAAACTTGAACTCAGAAAATGCAAATGATTCTAATAGATTAAACAAATAATCTATTATACAAACAAAAACTAATATTTAACTTCATTTTTTAAATGAATATCAAGCTCACTCAAACTGGTAGTCATGTACATTAGGTGGGCAATATCATTGCTACTTCACATATCTACAATATTGTCACCGACTTATGTCATTATACTATCTTTTGTGCTCCATAGTGCTGGTGGTGTTCACTGGGGAATATGTTGATTCCAGTAAAATTTTGTGTTGCTACCCATGGAAATTGAAACATGTTGTGGAAATATTAGGAAATTTATGGACATTTAAAACCATGATACACCTTTCTTTTGCATACACTTATTCAGATTACAAGATATTTCTAGGTGTCTCCCTGATGTTAATGCCTGGTTCTGAAATCCCTAATGATTCTTTCAATTCTTTTGATCACTTTTATCAAGGCTTTTTATAATAATATTACATGCACTGGCAGATTTGTCTAGCTGGACTTAATGTGTGTAGTCCTTCCCCCTTAACAAGATGTAATTCTTTTTCTGAGGGAGATCGGTGCATGCTTCAAATGGACAAGGAGATCAGCTGACACGTTGGCTAAACAAGGGACTGTGAGGGAGAGTATTTTCTGGGCAGTTTTGTAAGAAAGATAACTGGGGCTCAACACCTACTTAGGGGTTGACAGCTGTACTTAAATCTGGAAAGTTATTTAATGAAGTTACCATTTCCAATAAAAAAAATTCTTTTTCTCTGTCACTAGCTTTTCTGAGAACCTCTTCATGATTACATATAAAAAAAAATCAGACCTTGAGTTTTATTGAAAGGGGAGACCTATGGGGCTATGCAGCCATTCAACAACTTAAGAGTACCCACATACTCTGCTTAAGCTCGTTCCATGTTATCTCTGCTAAACTGCATTTAGGTGGGTTAATCCTCAACCTCAATACTCTCAACTATTTTTAAAATGACTTTCAAGTTTCTGAAATCTTCCACTCCTGTATTTCCCCAAGATGATATTGTCATCTACAGATTGCAGATTTTAGATAATTTTTTCTTCCCTTTCCACTCCAAATCCTGTAACAAGGCTTCTGTCATTGATTATTTTAAGCAATCTGTTGAGAATCTCAACCACTGGGATGAATAACATTTGCAGAACAAGGGCTGCAATGCGACCTATGAGATTGTGTATTGTTGAGTATTATGATTGAAAGGTGAAGCATCTTCATTTTCAATAGGAATAATAGAAGGTTCTTGTCATAAATAATGAATACTTTTCTAACTTTTAACTATCTTTCCCTTTTTAGAGCGTTTCTGAGAAGACAATTGGAGTAACTTTTATGTTTTGGGTATTGATAAAAAAATTAAAATTTTATGTTTTGAATGAAGATGTAGCCTGATAAGGCCTCATTATAATATATGATCAGCAACAGAAACTTTATTAATTAAGTGAAAAGTTACAGATTTTAGGTAGCCTTGGCTACCCTCCTATGACTGAATTTTTTGGAAGGGGGAATCCTTTCCCTCCTATGACTTTTCTTGCAAAAACTCTTAGTTGAAAAGTTAGGGAATAAACTAGATTCTTATCTAATGAATTATAAATTAAAGTTAAGTGCTATTATCACAGCAACAAAAATTGATAAACCAAATACTCATGTAATCGCATGTTTACTATTTATAGCAAAGTTCAGTATTACCTCCTTAGCCCATTAATTCCAATAAAAAGAATGCTCTTGATGTGCAAGTCTATAAAAAATTGATACATCTCTTTAAATCTATTAATTCCAATCAATGTGGTCACAATGGAAGTGTTATCTGTAACCACTAATGCATTTATTAGGGAACCATTTGGCATTTTCATGTTCTCTTAATTTCTGACGGTGATCCATAGATCACGGCATCTTCTGAGTTCTGAAGTTTTCTAGTCTTGTGAATGTTAACCACTGCATGGTTTCCTTTGTATCTTGCCACTAACCTTTACTATATTTTTTTTTACAGGTCTGGCATTTCAGGCGTCTCATACTTGAAACACTTAATGCTGACTTACATAATGAATTGGATTTCATTGAACGCATTGCCAAGAGTAACTCCAAAAATTATCAGATATGGTGAGGCTTGATAGGCATGAATTTGTCATTTTTATCTGTGCATGTGTGTGGGTAGGTGGTTGAGTGTTTATGCATTTGTGTGTGCACATACTTGTCCATATGTGCTTAAGGTAAAAGGCTAGGATACATTTTGAAGGCTGGTATAAGCCATTGTTTCCTTCTAATTTGTATACATAGTTGTCAAGGCGATGCCTAGACAACAAGGCGCCCTTTGTGGCTCGCCTCGCCTAATTGCCAAGCAGTTTTGTACTATGTATTATAAATACTTTTTTATTCTTTATTTTTTGACATTATAATTATAAAATAGGCACTATTAAACTAAAATATTTATTTTATGTGTTTATATACTAATTTCTTTTTATTATTTTTCTTATTTGTTAGGGTTTAATCAATATAAACATTGCTAAATGCTGTATTGAACCCCCAAAAACTTTAAAACCTGAACCAATAAGTAAAGAAGAACTTAAAATTTTGTCTAATCAACACATTTTCTACTACTTTTTCTTTTCTTCTTTTCCTATAACAAAATAAGGGTTCAGCCCCTATATTTTTTTGAATTTTCTTTTCCTTCTTTTTCTTCTCATGAATATGTTGATTTTCTATACTTTAACATGAACTCTATACTTTTCTTATGAAAATTGTGAATAATTATTAAGGAAATATGGTTATGGTACCTGGGGAACTACCCTAGGATCTATGTTTTCTACAGAAAAAATTCGTCGCCTAGGTGACTAGGCAACAAGGCACCCCCTGTCGCCTAGCCTCGCCTTGGTGCCTTGAAAACTATGTTTGTATATTTGGGGAGAATTCTGACTATTGGGCATAGGAAGCTTTTATATAACCACATCCCATTCTTGATGAAGTTGTGCTGATCCATTTTATATAGAAAAACATTAATAGTACATTTAGGACTAAACTTGATTACTGCTATTGATGAAAAAATTTGATAGAAAAAGAATTGAATACTTTTAGATTCCAATTTGTGGGGGTGAGTTGGGTGATTGCCTAAATGAGCAGAATACAACTTCCTTTCTTCCCTCCTCAAACAATTGTAGAAGAAAAAACTAATTAACTCATGAACAACTTGACCAATATTTTATGCAATTTTGAACAATGCTAATTTATGATTGGACTAAAAGATCCTAATGGCTGGAAAATGACATGCACACAAAATTACTCTTAGCATTCTTGATAAAATTATGGAAACCCCTTGTTTTGACCATTTGCATTCTCCATCCTTTGCCTCCTGTTCCAGTGGTAAAAAGAGAAAGAATAACATTCTTGAATTTAATTCTCTCTCCAGCTTTAGTAAGGACCAAATAATTCATGACTAACTCGAATATTACTCATATGCATCCTGCATCACTGGTAGTCCATTGCTAGTTTTTTTTCACCCATAGTAAAGAAAAAAAGATTCTATTAAAATGAAAAGGATTACAAGATGGTAGTCAAGTGCTAGATTAGGCAACTAGGTATTTAAGAATGGTTGCTCCTCTATTTAGGGATCTTTGAAACTCAATTTTGATGACCATTCATTCTAGGTCCCTATGGTGTTGGTACAGTACTTAAAGCGCTTGGGGCAGATGGTTTCTTAAGGCTAATTGGAGTTGGGAATTTTGCTAGTCTAGGAAGCTTTTTTTTTTTTTAATTATTGGTAATGTCAGAATTTTCAGAATAATTTTATTAAAATTTATAAAGGGAATAATCTTACAAGTATGCTGACATCACACAATGTCCTTTTTTATTAATCAATAAAAGTAGGCAATAGAAGCATCCCTTAGAGAGGCACAAGGTGCTACCTCTCCCAACATAATAAAAGGTTACATATTACAACTGGACCCAATACAATTGATTTCTATTCACCTCTTGCTTAGCTAAGGTATCCTTTACCCTATTGACTGATCTCCTCACCCATTGTGTTTTCAAAGCCATGTTTCTAGTGAGCCATTTAAATTTCTTCATTTCATCCCTAAAACAACAAAGCATAGACTCTGGTTCCTTCAGCTACCCCACCACCATTTTAGGATCCCCTTTAATCATCTTTACTAGTATTCAGATCATTGGACGACATCCTTGATGCATTCATGTTCAAGGCAGTAAATCTGGACTTATTCAAAGGATTTATGGTCGGTCAAGATAGCATCCACATTATTCATCTCCAATATGCGGATGATATCTTCTTTGTAGAGGACAAGAGAGATTATGTTCTTAATCTCAAGAGAATTCTCTAGTGCTGCGAAGCAATGACAGGGATAAAAACCAATTTGGAGAAGAGCAGTATCATTGGTATCCACATCCCCCAACAAGAGTTGATAGGCCATAGCAGAATGGTGTGGCTGAATGCAAAAACATCCATCTACTAGAAGTTACACGGGCCCTCCTTATCCAGATGAATGTGCCAAAGATTTATTGGGGTGTTCTTACCGTTTGTTATCTCATTAATAGAATGCCTTCATCAGTTCTTCAAAATAAGATATTGGGGTGTTCTTACCGTTTGTTATCTCATTAATAGAATGCCCTCATCAGTTCTTCAAAATAAGATACCTCATTCTGTCTTGTTTCCTGATGCTCGCTTGTTTGCTTTACCACCTCGTATTTTTGAATGTGTTTGCTTTGCCCATCTTTTTGATCGCCAACATTACAAGCTTGATCCCCATGCAGTTAAGTATTCTTTTTGGGATGTTCAAAGACTTAGAAAGGGTTCAAGTGTTATAGTCCTCTTTGTTGTCACTTTGTTAGTACTGATATTACCTTTCATGAATTTACTCTGTATTTCTCATTTACTGATTCGCTTCCTTCTCCACCAGGTGATTCTCACCCACTTCTTGTCCATTTTGTGACTCTTCTCTAGCCTACTTGCACTACTCTACCTAGGCCACCTATTCAACAAGTGTATCTACAAACGTGACTGGCTTCAACTCCAACATCAACTGCCTTGTTGTTTGTGGGTCCTGCACTCCTACTGCCCCCTCCATTGCTACTATTGTTGTTTTAGTTGTGCAGCCAGTTTCAGACCTTGATTTACCCATTGACCTTCAGAAAGGTAATCATTCTTGTACAATGCACCCTATTAGTCAAAACATAGTCATTATCACCTTATGTCCTTGCCTTTGTTACATCTCTTTGTGCAATCTCTATTCCTAAATCCCTATAGGAAGCATAGTTTTCAAGGTGCCAAGGCGAGGCTAGGTGACAGGGGGGCACCTTGTCACCTAGGTGATGGATTTTTTTAAGTAAAAATCACATATCCTAGGGTAGTTCCGTAGGTTCCATAACCAACTTTCTTTAATAACTATCCATAATTTTCATAAGAAAATTATAAACTTCATGTTTAAGTCTAGAAAATCAACATATTTATGAGAAGAAAAAGAAGAAAGGAAAGAAAATTCAAAAAATATAGGGGCTGAATCCCTATTTTTGTTATAGGGAAGAATGTGTTGATTAGACAAAATTTTAAGTTCTTCCCTTGCTTATTGGTTCAGATTTTGAAGTCATTGCAGTATGCAAAACTACTTGGCAATTGGGCGAGGTGAGCCTCCAAGGGCGCCTTGTTGCCTAGGCATCACCTTGACAACTATGATAGGAAGACTTGTCTAATCTTGGGTGGAGGGCAGTTTTGGAAGAAGAAATGTTGACACTTCATCAAAATGGCATGGGATTTTGTTATTTTCCCTTCTAGTAAGCAACTTGTGGGATGTAGATGGGTATATGCAATGAAATTTAACACTAATGATACAATAAAGAGACTTAAAGCTAATGTAATTGCTAAAGGGTTTACTCAGACTTTGGTGTAGATTTTGATCAAACATTTTCTCCATTTGCTAAGATCACCTCTGTCTATGTGGTTATTTCCTTGCTTGTGACTAATCATTGGCCCTTGTATCAGTTAGATGCTAAGAATGCTTTCCTACATGGTGATCTTATGGAGTAAGTGTTCATGAAGCAACCACCTAGGTCTGTTGCTCAAGGGGAGTATAAGGGTATGGTTTGCAGGTTAAAGAAGGCATTGTATGGTCTGAAATAGTCTCCACATGCTTGGTTTGACAAATTTAGTGAAGCAGTTGTGGAGTTTGGCTTACACAAATGTTAGTTTAATTATTTTGTGTTCAAAAAGACTTCTAATGGCGGTATTTTTATTCTTGTTGTCTATGTAGATGGTATTGCTATCATAAGGGGTAACTCACAAGGCATCAGTGAATTTAAGTAATTTCTATAGGAGAGGTTGCATACTAAAGATCTTGGCATAGAAGTGATGAGATCAACCAAAGAGATCTCTCTATCACAACGTAAGTATACGTTGGACCTACTTGAGGGGACAAGCATGATGGGATGTAGACCAATTGCTACACTCATGGATCCCAACACTAAGCTAGTTTCAAAATAGGGAGAGTTAGTTGATGATCCTTGGCAGTATAGGAGACTTGTAGGGAAGCTGAATTAGGGATGGCAATTTTCCCCAGCCACCAAGTACCCAACCTCCCTAACCCCATTAGGTCAGGGATGGGGATTAATAGGGATCCACCAAGTCCTCGCTTCGTCTTGACCCCGATTATTATATATATATATATCAAAATATATTTAAAACACAACTGTTTTGGACACCTCCCATTAAAGCTGAATTAGGGAGCGGGGATCGTTGCAATGGCTTCTAGGTCGATGTAGAAGAGTAAAGCACGACTGGTTTGGACACCTCTCATTGAGTGCTTTATGAAACTGAACTTTGATGGGAGTAGTTAGGGCAGCCCAGGCCTTTTTGGAATTGGAGGGACCATACGAAATAAGGATGGGAATCTGAGAGTACTCTACTCAGGACCGATGGGGAATGGAGACTCCTTAAGGGCTGAACTGTATGCAGTCCTACAAGGTATACAGATTGCAAGTGAGATAGGCTTGGAGAATTTGGTGATAGAAGGAGACTCCAAGGTGGTGGTGGGTTGGCTTAAAGACCTAGACTTAGTGATATGGTGTTATAGAAATGAAATGAAGAAATTCAAATGGGTAACACAACATATGAATTTGACTATAATATGGGTGGGAAGGGAGGCTAATGCATTTGCTGACTATCTAGCCAAGCAAGGAGTAACTGGGGATCAGTTGTTTTGGGCCCAATTGTAATTTTAGTGTTGTTTTCTTTTAAAGAGTGAGGCTGCACCTCGTGCCTCCCCTTGTGGTGCTTGTAACAAACATTTATCTTTTTGCTGATAATGAATTTTTACCTATAAAAAATAATTTAAAATATTATATATATATATTTTAAAACTTTCCTTTATTTTAAGTAAATTTATTTTTCAAAAAATAGTATTAATTAAAAATTTTGGGGATTCGGTTCCTCGTTCCCCGACGGGGATTATATCCGGGATGGGGATTTATTTTAAAATTGGGGTTGAATTACTTGACCAAGCTGAATTACGTCACTATCACCCATCCAGGCATTTGTTTTGTAGTGGGTGTTGTAAATCAGTTTATGAGCTCTCCGTGTGTTCCACATCTTGAAGTTGTGTATAGAATCATGAAGTACCTTAAGGGATCACCAGGTATGGGAATCATCTACAGAGATTATGGTCATTTATTGACTATGTTTGGGTTCACAAGTGTTGACTGGGTTGGATCACCAATGGATAGGAGGTCAACAACAAGGTATTGTATGTTTTTTGGTGGAAATCTTATTTCTTGGAAGAGCAAGAAACAAAACGTTGTAGCTAAATCAAGTGCTGAAGCTGAGTATAGAGCCACGAGTCAAGCAACAGGAGAATTAGTGTGGCTTAAGGTCCTGTTCATTTACAAATTTCTCACTTACCCAGGTAAATGTTTCTTGGGTAACACTTGCCCATGTTCTTTTGGTTCCTAGGTAAGTAATATAATGACCTTTTTACCCACAAAAAGCTAATGTGAAAAGGGCAAACTTGTCCCATCATGTTTTATAAACTTTTCCCCCTAGTGGGAAAGTTACCCACCTGGGAGATGGGTAAGTTTTACCTAGGTAAATTAAGATCTCTCTACCGTGGGGCCCAATAACTAATGCAAAAAGAACACTGTAAAGTTGGTCAATGGGAAAGAGATACCCATTACCAACTTCCCCCCTCTTATTTACCGGTAAATGAATAGGGCCTAAGAATCTTCTTGAAGAAATTGGGATTCCAATGAAGACTCCTATGCACTTGCATTGTGATAATCAGGCTGTCTTTCATATTGCATCAAATCCAGTTTTTCATGGGAGGGAAAAATATATTGAGGTATACTGCCACTTCGTTAGAGAAAAAGATTCAAGATGGTGATATTGACACACCATTTGTGAGGTCGGGGGACCGGTTAGCTGATTTATAGACCATGGCCCTACATCATCCTTGTGATTGCTTCGGTCAGGGTTGTACTACAGGCAAACTCCTAGTTTCTTCTTGGGTCAGGGTTGTACTAGGTGGCTGAAGATTAGTCCTAGTGATTGCTTCGGTCAACTGCCTAATAGCAGTTTCTAAACCTTGAATGAATGCTGTTTGTTGCTGTTGTAACTCTCCGATGGCTGAGAGAATCTCAGATCCATCATTGGAAGCATTGTTGTGGGCCATGTCTGAGAGAAATTTCAGGCTCACGACCTAATGCAGAACAGGTCTAACAGATCTGTTCTAGTGATCTTTACAGCAAAAATCATCCAAACTGTTTGAGAAATTCAAGGGAAAGAAAGAAAATAGAGTGAAGAAAGAAACTGCAGCTTTTTTAAGCTTGAAGTAATTGAATATCCTCCTTTTTCTTTTTTGAACAGCAGCTAATAATGTTCTTATATAGGGGTTCTGTTTAGGTCGGCAAGCAATAAAACCCTGAAATTATAAAAATGCCCCTGTCCCAAAATAGTATGGAAAGCAAAAACAACCTTATCTAATAGCTATATGCCCTGTAGGACTCTTCCTAACAATAACAATCTACTACAAATCATTAACTGACTGAGAAACAACCTACGAAACCATCAAAACAAAATTAAAACGTGAATGCTTCACTTTCTTGTTCCTTTTAGATTTGTCATGTGTTTCTTCAGAATTAAGTGCTGCAGCTAGACCTGTTCATGGGCCAGGCCGGGCTTTGCTTCTTTATAAACAGAAAATTACTAGGCGTGAGCCCGAGCCCGACTCGACCATCGGGCCTAGATCTTGAGCCCAAGCCCAACCCTATATAAAGCCTGAAGCCTGACTTTTATAGGTATTTTATAACGTATTAATTATATATTATTATTAATATATTATATATCGTATTTCTGTTATATATTTAATATTATTGGGTCAGGCTCGGGCTCGGGCTAGGCTTATTTGGGAAAGCCCAAGCCCACGGGCTTAAAATTTTGTCCAAGCCCATGAACAGGTCTAACTGCAGCCTCTATATTAGATGGTGAGTGAGAGTTTAGGGTTATTCGGCATATAAGGGCTTTTTATCTTCTTTGATAGGAAATGGTAACTTTCATTGATGAATTTAAATAAAGTACAATTACAATTTTACCACCCACATGATGGGTGGAACATGAGAACAAGAACCTTTCAAACAAGCCCAAAACAAAGCCTCCCTAGTAACTCCTTGCTTAGCTAAAGTGTCAGCCATTCCATTTGCTGACCTTACCCATTTAAAATGCACCCTAATCTCCCTTGCTGAGCTAATAATCTCTCTTAGAGGCTGTCTAAGTGACCATACTCCCAAGTTTCCAGATTGCATCCACCCTATTACCATCTTGGAGTCTCCCCTCACTTCTAATTATTGCATTCCCCATTGTTTCACCAATCTCAGGCCTTGGAGCAAGGCCATGACTTCTGCCCTGAAGGAATCTTCTATTCCAATCAGGCCCGAGTAAAGAGCCAAGACTTTTCTTCCTCAATTCTGAAAAGACCCCCAACTCCTGGCTGGCCCGGATTACCCAAGGAGCTTCTATCAAAGTTTAATTTCACCCTGAACTGGCATGCAAGAGTATTTTGATAGTTTGTATTGGGTAGATGGGTTTGTTCAGGTGGTAGGGCTATGGGTCTAATGGTGGATTTAGAGGATTCTGGGCTAGAACTTGGTTTGCTTGGGGGTTTTTAGGTGTTTTGGAGAAATTAAAATGGCCTGGTCAGGTATAAAAAATCGAGTGCTGACACCCCTGAAAAGGCTTGCTTTTAGCTTTGCAAGGCTGACTCTCTGCGATACTCATATGGAGTGCGAGATATCAATAAGAATTCAGCTCTGCGAGATCACCTTCGCCATGTGCTCTGAACCTATGTCTTGCCCTCAAATCCTTAAATGTATATCCACTCTGTCACAACTTGTAATACAACTATAAGTCTTTAGAGGGATAGCTGAGGCTAACAATCTCAATGGGTGTATCCCCCCTATTGTTTACTTATTCAGAAAAAGAAACGATACACTGTGTCATGAACTAGATGCATCTTTTTTCCCCTTGAATCTATAATGGGAGCTGTTTGCTGAAACTAGAGTTTTCTGATTGGATCATGTTAATCTATCTAATGGAATGTACTATTTTTGTTTCTCAAGGAGCTTTTGGGGGTGGGTTAGGTAGGTTGGCAATTTGTACTCAGGACATGAAGGATGGATGGCTACCTTTTTTCTTCATTTTTTTTTTTATAAATTTATATATTAATCCTAATGATATATTTCTGCAGGCATCATAGGCGCTGGGTTGCAGAGAAATTGGGAACTAAAGCTACAGAGTTGGAACTTGATTTCACCAGGAAGGTCCTTTCACTTGATGCTAAACACTATCATGCCTGGTCTCATAGGCAGGTATAACTGCAATGCATTTTTTTCACTAGGTTGCAGGCTTATCTTTTGAAAATTGGCATGTGAACAAGTTGGGAACATTAAGCATGAGTATTCTACATGGTTCAAAATGTTTAAATACTTCCTAATATTTTCATTTTCATAGGTAAAAACGTGAAACATTACTAAAATGTATCTTGACATGTTCCCCAATTTTTTATTTGATCAATATAAGGTTTTAAATTTACATATTTGTAGATATCAAACAAAAATTTGTTTTGATATGATTTTTTTCTATTTAATGAATTCTGGTTAAATTTTCTCAAAAAAAAATATGATTCTTTTCTATTTAAAGTCATTATTTTTTCCAAATTTATCATTATGGATGACATTTTTTTCCTTTATGAAACATTTTGAATTTTACATTATCTATACTATATAATGCCAATACCTGCCTTGGTTTCCATGCAGGCCATAAAAGTTGAACCAGAGTATTTTTAATGACATCATTTCATATAAGTTAATACTTACAAATGGCAATGGTCCAAATAATTTGATCTTTGAATCTAATCAATGAGTTAAGACATTTAGAGCAATGTTTTAAAACATGGAGGCGTGATCCAAGGCATGAGGTGTAGTTCAGAACGCAAGAGGCATAAGCCTCCCGAACACAAGGAGGCGTAAGCCTCCTTAAGAGGAGGGGGTTAGGAGGAGGATGAAGAGGAAGGGGGGATCTCATTTTTTCTTTATTTTTAATAAAAATCTTTTATATTAAGAAGAATAAAGATGCATAACATTAGTTGAAAGGGNTAGGAGGAAGAAGGAGGAAGGGGAGGAGGATGAAGAGGAAGGGGGGATCTCATTTTTTCTTTATTTTTAATAAAAATCTTTTATATTAAGATGAATAAAGATGCATAACATTAGTTGAAAGGGCTGCATTGAAAAGGGGGGCAGGGGGGTCTGGCTTCGGGCAGGGGACAAACCACTTTCTTTCCTCTTATCTTTTCTTCTCTTCTCTTCCCTTTCCTTTTCTCTTTTTTTTTTCTTCTCTTTCTTTTTTTCCCCTTCCCTTTCTTTTCTTTTCCTTTCCTTTTTTTTTCTTTTTCTTTTTTCTTTTTTTTTTCTGTCTTTTTTATATAAGATGTGCATGAAGCTTATGAGGTGTACGCCCCCTAGCACGCCTCATGAAAAAAGCGAATGAGGCGTACGCCTCTAGCATGCCTCATGAAGAAAGTGTATGAGGCGTACGCCTCAGAGGTGTCAGTGTCTCTGGCATATGCCTCGAGGCGTTTTGGGAGCGCCTCACCTGGAGGACACCTTTTAAAACACTGATTTAGAGTTCAGAAAAAAACAAAAATAAAATCAAAATCTAAATGCCTTTTCACCTTTTTAGTTTTTGTTTTTTATCTAAACTAGGGACTGACAGGATGCAGCTTTTCTGGGCTGTATTGTAATGATTTGAATTTTGTAAGTGGAGCAGAGCTGTATTAGTATTCAGACCAGGAAGAGAGAGAGAGAGAGATTAGGCAAGAGAAAACAGGCGAACCTCTCTTAGAAGAGAATATTAGAGTCTAATCTCTCTAAGAAAGTCAGCATATATATATATATATATATTAATAGAGAATAAGTGCAAGTACAATAATGCCCCTGTTTATGATAATTTTAGGACTGAAGTGCCCTTATTTTCTTTTGGTAATTACTAGATTACCCTGCCTCCCAAGACTTAACATAAAACAGCTCTCTCAACAGAAAGGGAGACGAGACAGAGAGAGAGAGGGGGAGGGAGGGAGAGATTAGGCAAGAGAAAACAGGTGAACCTCTCTTAGAAGAGAAGATTAGAGTGTAATCTCTCTAAGAAAGTCAGCATATATATATATATATATATATATATTAATAGAGAATAAGTGCAAGTACAATAATGCCCCTGTTTATGATAATTTTAGGACTGGAGTGCCCTTATTTTCTTTTGGTAATTACTAGATTACCCTGCCTCCCAAGACTTAACATAAAACAGCTCTCTCAACAGAAAGGGGTCATAATTTTCGTAAGCTTGGGTCGAATTGGCTTATTGTAAATCTCAATTCATACATTATCTAATATTTTTCCACTTTTATCCAGTTTTGTCCAGCCATAATCATCTTCATATAGGATCAGTTAGATCCAATTTTCTTCAAAATCCTAATTTAATTGCCCTTAGATTCAATTATTCCAATTAGCTCTACTAACCTGCTCAGCTATTCTAGGCACAACCCCAGTTCAACCCACTCTAAAATTACCTGTAGGTGCAATCTCTAGCCTAGAGTCTACTCCTCCAGGACCCTTCCTAAACCCAATAGGCCTCCTTCTCACCCTTAACACAACTCAAGCATAGTCTAGGTTCAACTCATAGCTCACTTTTTTAGTAGACCATATGATTGATTCCTGTGACCCCCTTAGGTTTCAAACCTTAGTTTTAATCCCTCTAGAACCACCTTAAATAGGATCAATCTAATCTAGATGCCTTCTTAGTTTATATTAGGTGCAATCTTTTTCTCTAGTTGCCTTTAGGTTTGAATCTAGTTGCCTCAATTTTTTTTTTTAATCACTAATCAGTAATCAATTCACTAGCTTAATGAAGTTAACATTATAATGGGTTTCTGATACAAAGGAAATCAAATCCTTTTCAAGCTTAAAAGCCCCTATTACAGTTGCCTCCTGAGATTTAGAACAGCCCAACCCAGGCCTGGTTTTCATTCTTCTCGGAATATCATAGATGGACCAACCGAACCCAAGGTCATAGCCTTCCTGTTATCAAGCAAAATTTCAACTTTAAATCAGACTCCAGGTCCTTAACCTATATCCATCAATCTGTTCCCATCTAGGGCTATCTCAGCTCCAATTGAACCCATGTATCCAAGACCATCCTACCCATCTGCTAACATCAATCTCCACAAGGGTTAATACACATCTATTCAATGGTCAAATCAGACTCTAAGCCTAGTCAACTTCAAACCATATTAATTCTTCCTAACCTGAATATCCAAGATTAATCCACATACAAAACTTTTGATCTGAAACCAAAACCCAATTGAAGCCTAATTGGTGTATCTTGGCCCAAAATCAAGATTGATCCATATAGGGTCAACTCTTGACCAAATCTCGAATCAAGATAGCCTTTAAGTTTTCTAACTCTCTTGGCTTTGACTTATGAATTAGCCTACATAGCCATTAAAACCCCTATCCATCTGAATTAAATGATCAAATTCCAAATTAATACCACCAACCAGTATTGTTTGGGTGCTGCTCTTCTGTTTTGATGTCAATGATTGGTAGGCAGACTCTTGAGTTGCTCTATTGGAGACTCTAAAACATTGTTGCTTACAACTGGCCATGGATGATGGTCAAATATGGACAAAAAAGTATGATTGGTATTTTCTCATCTGCCATTCTCTCTCATGGGAGAAGCAATTAAAACTTATTTCCATGGTGATGAATTTGGAATACCTGTATCCTTGTGAAGTGTCTTTCTTCATGTTGATGGCAGTCTTGAATATAATTCTTACCAATGATCATCTTGTCAACAAAGAGATGAATAATCTTGATTCATTTTGGTTAAATGACTTACCAATGTCTTTGAATATAGTTCTCTCTCTCTGAAATGAGTACATTTGGAGGACCTGGCAAGGTTCATTTCCTCATGGAAAGAGGGCTTCAGTGCAAGAGGGAAAATACTATGGAACTTGTTCCCTTTTGCACTATGCTCTTTTTGGAAAGAAAGGAATTGAAGAATTCCTCTGTAGAACTAAGTGTTTGGGGTACTTACGGAAGACTCTTTTTTGATGGACTGGGATACTCAAGCAGTTTGGTGGAATCAAACAGGACCATTTTAGGAATCACTGAAGCAATATTATCTTCTATTCTTCCTTCTCTATGTAGTAGGGAGCTCATAAAGGCTCCTGCTATTGTTTTTCATTTAAGTTGTTTCCATGTGCTATTTCTGAGGCAGCTTCTCCATCTGTTTTCTATATTACAATGGTATTTATCTATCAAAATAATATTTCTTAGTTTAAAAAAAATCAATTAATCCATGATATTTTTGTCAATCTTGATCAGTGACATAGGTATAGATGATTAGGTTTTTTTTTTCACCATATAATTTGATTCCTTTTGAAATTCAAAACTAAGGCTACTTAAAGCTATTTTTAAGTTTTAAAGGCAGCACTGTAGGAAATTTTAAATGTTTCTTGCTGGATCCATGGATCATATCTGCTGTTATTTTATCATATTCCATTGCCTTGGGGAGCAAATGTTACTGCCATTATTTTATCATATTCATATTCCACTGCCTTGGGGACTGGCCATGAGGCATACATTCATTCTTTTGTTTGTTTTTTGAGAAGCTGATTCAAAAACTGCTGTTATATGAATGTGCAATACGAGACTGAAGTAATATCATTCCATGCAGTGGTCTCTTCAGGTGTTAGGTGGATGGGAAGAAGAACTTGACTACTGTGGGAAGCTCATTGAAGAAGATATTTTTAACAATTCTGCTTGGAATCAGGTAAGGCTGAAAACTCAGAGATGTTGCTGGATATGTTATAATAGCTATGTGCCTTCATGGTGGAGCATTTACCATGGTTCTCTCAACATCCTTTTGTGCTTATCATTCGTATCAAATTTGTATTCCTGTGAACTGTATTCATCCTATTTTCACTCTTCTATAAGATGCATGACATGTGCTTGACAAATGACTGCAATTGCTAACGGGTATATTGTAATTGTGTTACTGTAACAGAGATATTTTGTAATAACAAGGTCTCCACTATTGGGAGGTCTACAAGCCATGAGAGAGTCTGAAGTACGCTACACTGTTGAAGCCATTCTAGCCAACCCCGACAATGAGAGTCCATGGAGATACCTTCGAGGTTTATATAAAGGTGACACTTCATTATTGTTAAGTGACCCCCAGGTGGTTTCAGTATGCCTGAAGGTTTTGAGTACCAGTATGAACTGTGTATTTGCTTTGAGCTTGCTTTTGGACCTTCTCTGCCTTGGTTTCCAACCAGATCAGGAATTCAAAAGCGTGGTTGAGTCTCTAAGAACTTCAGACTCAGCTACACCAGATTCAAACTTGGCAAAGACTGTTTGTTCTGTCTTGGAAAGGGTAGATTCTTTGCGGTCAAACTATTGGGCATGGCGTAAGAACAATCTTCCTTCTCCGGCTGTCCAAAGTTGAAGAAAATTTGCTATTCTCATAAGATTTGTATGATCTCCTTTTGGTCATCATTCATGTTTTAATATTTGCTTCTCAAATATTAGGAATCAGGGGGGATGGATACTGCATGAAGTGTTCTTGTCTTATTTTTAGATGGATTTGTCCGTATTGATCCATTCAATTGAGAGGATCTAGATCAAGGACTTGTATTGTAATGCCTTGAATTGGTGTACTGTGGACAATACCTGATTAAACTTACTGATAATGATGGGTGGAACTCCAACCACCTGCTTGTAATGCCATGGTTTTCATGCCTAAATGATTGCCGGATTGATGTTGTAATTATAGGAACTCCAAAGGACTTTATAAATTAATAATCTTTATACAATTTACTTTTTTGATCAGTAATCAAAGTAGATTTCATTACTTAGAGAAAAAAGATAATACAGAAACATGGGCAGCCTCGGCTACCAACAATAGAATACATAGACAAATTGATGATCAGTCTCACAATTGAGCCCAAAAGCACTCTGCTCTATTTACCCCTTGCTTTGCTAGATGGTCATCTAAGCCAGTTGCCGACCTAGGAGCCCATTGAAATATCAGCTGCATATCCCTTGAGAACCTCTTGAAATGTTTAAATTTGTTTGTGAAAAACCAAGGAATCTTCTTGTTCTGCTTTAACCAACTTATTACTATTTTGGAGTTGCCTTCAACTATTAGCTTCCGAAACCCCATTTCCAAAGATATTTGCATCCCATAAAGTATTGCCTTCGATTCTGTTGTTACAGAGTCACACTCCAAGTATTGCCTTTATTTAGTAATTATGTCCTATTCATTTTATGGGGCATTTTTACACTACTCCATGCATCAATTTAAATAACCAATCCAGGACAGGGACGGGGTATATACATTAAACATTTTTAAAATATTATTAATATTAAATTTTTGAAAGTATTTCTATATGATTATTATAATGTCGCTACATATATTAGACAAATTTCAATTTTTATGTTATCTTGATGATTTAATGATGATAGTTAAGAGCCCATCCAATTTCTTTCTTTTAAATAAACGATTTCCCAAAGTAAGATTTTAATTGAAAAAGAAAAAAGAATTCAATTGGGATCAGGTTAGGGTTGTCAATGGACCCAGAAAGTCCAAGGCCCAATTTGATTCTGATTCTGATTATGATGTTAGAACTTGCATCAGGTTAATAATCAGATAAGATGTGGATTTAATACCACCCGATCTAATTAAAATCTAAGTCTGATAAAGAGTTATCATTTTATGTATATATGTAATATGATTATGGATATGTACGAATATTATGTATAATTATATAATTCTTATAATTGATAAATTTAATATTTTATATTTATTTGCATTTATTATACATGTATAAGTTAAAAATATTTTTTAAATTTTTGATCATTTTAATCACAATAAAATGGTTGTAGATTAAATCTAAATCTGATCTAAAATCCAACATTATAATGAAATGTTGATGCGGATGCAATTAGGTCCAATTTGAATGTAGATGCGGATTGTCTAGGGGTTTCATAATCAAATGTAGATGCAGATGCAACTGGGTCCAATTTGAATCCAATCCGTCTATAGCCCTAAATCGAGGATAGGGATGGGGAGTATGACCCTGGCCTATTACCATTCCTAAATTCTGCCATGTTGAGATATCAAATTAATAAAAAATAGATATGATAATAGTAATAAATTAATCATTGATAATTAATAATATATAACACCAATACATGGAGTTAGTCACAATACAAATACTACCATAATAAGCTACGAAAATTAAAATAAGTATTAATAAAAAAAATAAATAAAATCTAATAAAAATGAGTAGCAATCAAAACAAACTTATCTAAATATAACGAAAATAAATAAACATTAATAGAAAAATTAATATAAATTAATACAAGTTTATCTAACAATGCATAATCATCTACATCGCATACCTACCTGCTCCATCGGCTACATCACAATTTACTTTTTCATAACGTTGCTGCAAATGCAAGTTTCGAGCTGCTATTTAACTTATCTAACTGGAACCCACCAATCTCAAACAGACATCAGCCTGCTGACCGGCAAGACCTGTATCAATTTGTTTGGAGTGCTTTGTGGACCCATATATAAGGATAATGTCTACCAATCAGGTAAATATGCAATAATAATTAAAATCTAAGTTGATCTTTCAATTATATAACAATTGTTCATTGAGTATCTTCCAGTACAAGTTTTGCAGAAAATATTCTTGCCAATATGTTGCCGAGGGATCCAAAATACATAGGCGAAATGCCTCAAGCCAATGGAGCAAATAACTCGTGTTAATGCTGGGCATGCATGAAAACTTCCCTAACATAGACTCACACAAAGGCGGTGAGAAAAAATTATGCAAATATCAGCAGGGATCAGGAAAGCACAAAAATTTTTCCATTCTTCCAGAAATAGCTCCAAAAAATCCCTAAAAAAACAGCATTCCTTAAGACCTTTTAGTAGAACTTGATCTCTTTGTTTTAGGCAACACAGAACTTTTCTCCTTAAAAGCTGATGGACAGAGGTCATTTATGCCACAAATTTCACAGTGAGGTCTAAGAGGAGTACATATCGTCTGTCCAAATCCAACCTGTAATTATACAGGAACAAAGAAATGATCAGCATAAATGATTGGATAAAGCTTCCATCTGTTTATGGCATATAGACTTTGCAAGACTAAAGCAAAAGCTGTCATCAGTTTCATTGGTAACATTTATTCAATTGTCTTTTTCATTCATGGGCCGTAACCCTATGACTGATATGAGAGCTTTGTGGGTCCCATGCCATACATTATTCAGGCCTAATTGACTTAAAACATATCTAATTAAGAAACCACTTGGTAATGGGCCTAAGCCCATTAACTAGTTAGACTAGTCCCATGTGCCTTGGGTCGAATACGGGTATGAATTTGGGTATGGATCTCCAATGTGATTAGAAGTCTAACCAAATCAGATTTGGATAGTCCTAAACACAAGGGGATTCCAAACACATTGATCCAAATGAAGCATCTTCCCTGCAAATTTAATCACCTGCCTAATTTCAATTCAGGATAATGAACAAAACCATTTGCTTCCTTCCTCAAAATCTCATCAAATGCTTCTCTACTATTACACATGAATAGGAACAGCCCTGCATTCAGTCTTCTTACCTTATAAAATCCAGAGTTCCTCCAGTCCTCCCATGCCTAGCTCCCCACACCTCTTTCGTCAGGATCCGACTCCAAGAATCTCCCAACTAAGCCCACCTGTAACACCTCCAACCATTCCTGTAATTTACCAGATTCCTTCACAATAATATGCATCTTCATTGTTATGTTGAGAGTGGATTATTACTTGGTTCCAAGGCCTACAAATGGCATGGCAGATGGGTTGGCCAATACATTGTTGTCTGAGCAGAGTGTTCTTTTGTGAAACTGTCTGAAAGTATTATGCATTTGTTGGTTGATTGCAGCTTCACAAATTGTCTGGGGCTTCTTTTTTCAGCTATTTAAAATGGAAGTATGGAAGGAAGTAGGAAAGCAAAGATTATCTTTTTTTTTTTGTTTTTTGAAAAGAAAAGAGGTAAGGTAAAGTTTATTTATCATGAAAAGATAATCAATCATACAAGAATGGGGGAAACCACAAGCTAGTTCGCCCCCAAAGGATATGATCATAACTTCCACAGGCTAACTGAGCTGAGCATCATAAACAAGTTCTGATTACAAAATTCAGGATAGAAAGCCAAGAAGCAAGTCTGGCCACAATACATTGGATTAACACCTCTGCTTCTTTCTTCTCTTTTCTGAAGACTCTGTCATTCCTCTCAGACCATATAGTACTGATTACTGCTGCTGGAATGGCTCTCCATATGTATTTGCCTTTTTTTGAGAGGCCCAGAAGGTGCCAGCTATGAAGCAGATCCTTCACTGTACCCGGCATTACCCAACAAACACCAACAGCATCCAAGAAATGAGACCAGATGGTCCAGGCGAGCTTGCAATGAATACAGAGATGTTCAATGGATTCCTCTTCAAGACCACATACCCCATAGCTAATGTCATCCAGGCTGGCACCTCTTCTTGCTAGGTTGCTTCTTGTTAGGCATTTCCCAAGTGCAGAGGCCCACTTCTTGTTAGGAAAGCAAAGATTATCTGGAGTTGTAAACCTTTTAGTGTCCTGGGGAGTATGGAAAGAAAGGAACAAGCAACTTTTTGATGGGGAATAGAAGTCCAAGGAGAAGATGTGCATGACTATTGGTTCAAAGCTGCTAGATTGGATCTTGTTGCTTCTGGATTTTCAAGGAACCAAAAGAGAAGAGTTTGGAGCTGATATTGGCAAACATTAGATTTGTAGCAGTTGATGTTTCCTTTAATTGTTTAGTTCCATTTACTGTTTGTTGCTCTATTTGTAGTGAGTGATGTCTCGATACTCAATAGTCTCTGTAAAAAGAATTATTTTAATAAAAAATTTCTTTTTCTATTGGTCTTAAAAAAAATGATTCTTCAGTTGATCTATTATAATTAAATGCTCATTGCATGAGTTTAAAATTTTCTTGAATTTACTTAGTTTTAACTCATAGTATCTATAACTATAAGACAACTTCACAGCATATTGTTCTATCTATAACCTTAGCTTCCTGGCTTTGTTTGATGATTTGCATCAAGATAATAACCTAAAAAGGTGCATCTTTGCTTCCTTTAGCATTTTATAAAATACCATAGTATATTTTTGCATACATCACAACGTTTCCTCCATATATATAATTTTTACAATTTTCATACAACATTTTGACATTTTTTTGAAGAATAAAATATAAAATTTTATTAAAAAACATAAACAGTTACAATCTGTTCAGGTGTCAAGATAACACCCTAAACCAAAGCAAACATACATCAGAAACTTCAGTTCAGCAAAGTCTGAAGGTCTAGTTTGCTCAAATTCTGGAAGAGACATGACCCAGCTTGTGATGAGTTTTCCAACCGAGGCCACATTCTCTTCGGTGCTTCTTTCCTTTCCTTCAAATAGCCTCCTGTTCCTCCCCCCCCCCCCCCGAGTCCAGCAACTGCAAAAGGGATGCAGCTCCAAACAATTTTAGCTCTCAAGCTTCCTCTGAACTTCGGCCATGAGGAAAAGATCTCTGCTGAAGAAGATGATTGAAACATGGGCATCCCAAAAAGGAAACAATAGAAACTCCAAATGAAATTTGCTAAGTGGCATGAAAAAAACAAATGGTGTAATGTTTCCTCATCTGACTTGCATGTAGCAGTAGCTAGCCAAGCAAAGTCCCCTACTTTTTAGATGATCTGATGTGAGGATGCTATCCATTGCAGCCAACCACGCAAAAGCTTCAATTCTTCGAGGAACTGGGTTTCCCCATATTCCACCCATTTGATCATTAGTTACACAGTCCTTAGTAAGGACCATGTAAAATGATTTCACTGTGAATTTTCCGTTCCTGCACTCCTTCCACCATTGACCATCCTCACGAGCAGTAGAAATACTGGTATGCTCCAATTTCTTCAGCAATAGAACACATTCCTCCAGCTCTTGGTCACACAGAGGTCTTCTAAACTTGGGACTCCAAACCACCTTACCGTCATTGACTTCAAAGCATTGAGCCACAGTAACCTCATGATCTGTCAGCATGTACAGTCTTGGACACATCACATAACTTCCCAGCCCCACTCCATTCATCCTCCAGAACCTCACTCACCATACCTCTAAAATCCTGGTTAAATCTCATTATACCCTTCCACACACACACCCCATAGGAATTGGGCACCTCCCTTGGTTCTCACCACCCCATACTTCCCTACCACCACTCTTCTCCATAATGAGTCTTTTTCCTTTTCTAGCCTAAACCTCCATAACCATTTTCCAATCAAAGCTTTTTTTTTATTGATAACAGTGAATTTTATTAATGGAATAAAAAGTTACAAAGCAAGGGAGCTAAACAATCTTAACTCCCAGAAGCAACCGAGGTACACCCAAATTAAAAAGCAATTATAACACAGCCCAAAAAGGCTTCCCAACAGAAACTCCCAAGGGAGTGAGCTCCCAAATTTTAACAGGAAAGGACAATCCAACAAAAGATGGTTGTAATAGGGCTTTAAAGAATGAAGCACAGGTGAAAGAACCCAAGGGAGTGAGTGTCCAGATTCTATTGTCTGCCTTTATTGGATCCAAGAAAACCCCATCAAGGATGGATAATAATGATAAGGTACGGTCTAACTTTGAGTCCCTTATGTCTCTTCTCAAACCCAAGTACCAACCAAACCCAGAAGTTGAGTTGGAAGGTACAAGGAAGGTAGAAACCGGTTCATTTTTAAGGGTAGTGATAGAAAAAGGAGCCAGAAATTGATCTTTTAAAGGAGAATTTCCAACCCAAACATGTTCCCAAATTTTAATGAGATTGCCCAAGTGCAAGTCATACCTGATCCAGGGAGAGAACAAAGGCAAAATAGCTTGAATAGCCAGGGAGATGCTCTTGTAGTCCTTGTCGGAATCCTAGAGTCTCAATCCCATCCATTGTTTGCAATCCCATGAATACTACCCACTATCTTGACCCAAAGCTTTTCTTTCTCCAATGAGAATCTCCACAACCATTTCCCAAGTAGTGCCAAGTTCCTATTCCTTGTGTTCCCAATACCCAAACCTCCTTCCTTCTTGCTTCTACACACCACCTAACACTATGGTCCTCCTTCCCCGGCTCCCAAAGGAAGTCTCTCATTAGTTTTTCCAACCTACTAGCCACCCTAATCGGGACCTTAAAGACTAACAAAAAATAAACTGGAAGGTTAGCCAATGTAGACCTAATTAGGGTGATTCTCCCTCCCAGAGAAATAATTTTTCTTCCATGTGGCAAGCCTCTTCTCAAACTTTCGGCCTACAAACTTTCCCTTCCCAAAGGAAGTCCCTCTGAATTTTTTCTATCTCATCAGCTATAGAAGTTGGTATTTTCAGCAGTGAGAGGTAATAAGTTGGCAAATTTGAAGCACACTTCTTAGCAAGGTAATTCTACCCCCCCAAAGAGAGATACCTCACCTTCCAGCTTTCCACTCTCTTTATGAGAGGTCTCCAAGTGCTTGTTGAATCAAATTTAGCCCCAACTGGAAGTCCTAAGTAAGACAAAGGAAGCTCCCCAGTTCTGCATTCCAAGACTGCCGCTAATGAAGACATCTCTTCTTGGCTGATCTCCAATTTCAATCATGACACTCTTCTCCAGATTTACCTTTAAACCTGTTAGCAATTCAAAGTTTGCTAACACTGCCCCTAGATTCAGAACTTGCTCCTCCACTGCATCTAGAAAGATGAGAGTATCATCTGCAAATTGAAGATGAGAAATGCAAGGCCCCTCAGTCCCAACACTAAACCCTCCTAAGCATCCTTCCTAGGCACCCCTCCTTAGTAACAGATTTAGGGCCTCCATTACTAAGACAAACAGAAGAGGGGACAAATGATCCCCTTGCCTCAACCCCCTTGGTATTTGGAAGAAATCTGTGGAGATTCCAATAAGCATCACTGAGAAGGAAATTGATGAAATACAGCCACACATCAAGCCCCTCCATTTTTCCCCAAACACCATCAGCCTTTGAATCTCTTCCAAGAATCC